GCTGTAAAATGAAAATATCACCTTCCCTCTCAACCGGAATCTGAGTTGCTGCGTAGAATGCAAAAACGCCATACTAGACAAAACTGAAAAGTTTATCGTGAAAATCAACATGCAATTTTTCTGTTACACACTAAATACGACTATAAGTTGAGAAGAATCGTTTTTCTCGAATCGCTAGAGACCATCAAATGTATTTCTTGATAAAAGCCCAGGAGAATCCTGTCTTTATTTCCGTATTGACGAGATCGACCTCTACCCACAATCGGCTTTCCTCTTGTATTTTGAACCTGTTTTAACGTAACTCTATCGTATTTAAATTATGCAGTTTATGTCCAACCGGAGAAGAATTGGACTTTATTGCATTTTATCACATCTTTATTCACAGTTTGTACCAACAAATCTTTAGTACAACTTTTTAATTTACGATAATGAAACTTTTACAGTTGTTATAATTACTCCTACAGAAACATGCAATGCCGCCAAAATACCAGTACACTAAACCGAATATCACTCTTAATTTTCATCTTTTAGAGAATCTTATCCGTTAACTATTGTTTCGAATGGTTTTTCCTTTTTCTCTTTGCTTGGTAAGCTAAGGGATGATACAGTTCCAAAAGACCTAACTCGGTCAATAACAAAGTACTTGTCTGATTGTGTCCTTCACCGCTTGTCTCACTTCGTCTATCTTCCAGCAGTAAAGAATCGGGTTCAATGTCGAGTTTAAGAAAACTAAAGTGTATGTATAATTCCAAGCGAGAGAAACTGATAAAGATGGCTCAGCATGAATAAGCCAAGTTACCGATATTACAAATGGTAAATAGCAAGCGACTAACGTGAACTGCAGCCACAGTGCAGTGGACACTGCCTTTCTGTATCGCGACATGTTCAGCTGATTTGTTTGGTTCGGTTGCTGCACTTGGTCTTGAAGTTGATTTTGTCGATGGCGGAGGTTAATGAAAACCTTTGTATAACTGAAGGTCGAGGTTACTAGACACAGTGATACAAATGTAATTTCGCACCATGAGCTTACAAGGGAATTTAAAAAGGGCCTGATTGCTGACAAGACAGTAGACACAGCCCAAAAGGCAATAACGGTTCCGTAARCTCGCCTCAAAGTTACAACCTGTCTGTATCTAAGCCCCAACAAAAGGGCGAGAAGTCTGTCCACACTTATTGCAGTCAGTGTCAACAAAGACACTGCGCATAAAATAACGTTTGTTATAGAAACTACGACTGCTACGTAGCGACAAATATTCCAGTGTTCATTCACACCAGTCAGCAATAAAGCAGCATAGAGAGGCTGTGAAATAAGACCAACACAAAGATCAGTTGTTGCCAGGTTACGAAGCAAGAGTTTGGACGGCGGATGAAGTGGAGACTCCTTGCGAAGAGCAACTAGGACCAAAGCATTGCTAAAAAATGCCGTGATGGACAGAAAAGAGTTTAAAACTAATATCAATGCGAGCTGGCCATATATCCCAAGTAGTTAAATCTGGTAAGCAGTGGAGTTTTAAAGACGTAATGGTCTGCTTTTCGAATTCGTCTCCAGAAAAGTTTGTTGTGGCCATTACTCTTGTGCAGCGTTGTTATATGTAGCCTTGAGTTTAACTCCCAGCTTGAATGCCTTGATCAAAAATTCATGTTTCTTAATTTGTCAAACATGTCATGGATGACATGTTTGACACGCCTTATAGGGGACGAAATTAGGTTCTTTTGCGTCTCACCTGCCTTTGTCAAATTGTTTAAATAAATGAACAATTCATTTGGTAAAACAGTTTAAAAGCTAAAACTAGCCCAGCAGATGGTTCTACTTCTTAAGACTGACTTGTTCAACACAGTAACAGTATTGCCACTTTTTCTGCTTCAAAAAAATATCGAAAGAAGGACAATTATGCAGATTTATAGT